GGCTGGTGCAGGGCAGGAACAGGGCGGAGACAAGGAAGGCCTCCAGGGTGGTTCAGGGAGTTCAGGAGGCCATGGCGGAGCATGCAGACTAGTGAGCCATGGCGGAGCAGGTAGTCCAGGGGGCCATGGCGGATCAGACAGTTCAGGAGGCCACGGAGGAGCCTTAGTGGCCTTGTCCAGGTCCCCCGGCTCGGCCACTATGGCCACAGATATATAAAAAAAAAACTTTTCTTAGGGAAAACTAGGTCTTTCGATGCCCGGAGGGATTCTGGAGGGAACTCTGGAGGAGCGGAGCTGGCTAACACAGAGGGCTCAGGAGACGATGGAGGGCTGGACGGGACCAGCGGAGATGAAGGAGACGAAGTTGGGCTGGACGGAACCAGTGGAGACAAATGAGACGATGGAAGGCTGGACTTGGGATCTGTGGCCCTCCCTGGGCCAAACGGGGGAACAGTAGCCCTCTCTGGGCTTGATTTGAGAACAGGAGCGGACTCAGGGGCTGGAGCCGACACTGGAGCGGACTCGGGAGAGAGGATAAGGGCCGAGAAATCCGGAGGAAGCGCCAAATCCAGGAGCGCTGAGAGGCACGCTGGAGTGGACTCTGGAGGGAGCGCTGGTGCCTCTTTTTCTGGGCTGAGGGCTGGAATGGATCTTGGATGGGATCAGGGAAGCACAGGTGGAACGAAGGGAGCGGGCTCATTGGAGCGGTATGTGGAGGGTGCTGGTTTATGGTGAGCTGGAGTGCCAACGTGCCACCGGATAGGGACTGAATGGTTATCATTATTTACTTCAAAAAAGAAATCAGAGCAATTTAAATCGAGAACTAAATTAATAAAGTCTGCTACGGGTCTATAACAATCATCTGGAGACAAGAATCAGAATAAATTATCATCGTCCAGTCCCATCCGGAAGCACGCATTAAGCATATGATCACTCCAGCTCACCAGATGGAAGACACTCAGGAACTCCTCCACATATCGCTCCAAAGGCCTTCCATCCTGCTGGATGTTTAGTAAAAAATCCTCAGCTCAGTCCATCTCCTTTGTAGGTCCTGTCTTCTGTCGTGGGTTGCTGGGGAAAGAAGCTTGAAAGAGTACGAAGGAGGCAGATAGTCAAACAAACGGAGTCTTTAATAAATCTACATGGGAAAGTAGGAGAAAACAACCTCTTTACATGATGGAGACAGGACATTGAAACTCAGGAAAGGCAGGGCTATAAATACTAAACCAAACGATGGACTAATAAGATGATTAATGAACACGGATGGAAACTAATAAACTAATCAAGCAACACAGGAAAACTAGGTCAAGGCAGGGAGAACAGAAACACAGAACATAAACGTGACATATCGCCCCCCCCTCCCAGAAGGTGGATTCCACGCCGTAACAGTTCCAATGGGCAGGGGGGGGGGCGGGTGCCCTGGAGGCTGGTGCAGGGCAGGAACAGGGCGGAGACAAGGAAGGCCTCCAGGGTGGTTCAGGGAGTTCAGGAGGCCATGGCGGAGCATGCAGACTAGTGAGCCATGGCGGAGCAGGTAGTCCAGGGGGCCATGGCGGATCAGACAGTTCAGGAGGCCACGGAGGAGCCTTAGTGGCCTTGTCCAGGTCCCCCGGCTCGGCCACTATGGCCACAGATATATAAAAAAAAAACTTTTCTTAGGGAAAACTAGGTCTTTCGATGCCCGGAGGGATTCTGGAGGGAACTCTGGAGGAGCGGAGCTGGCTAACACAGAGGGCTCAGGAGACGATGGAGGGCTGGACGGGACCAGCGGAGATGAAGGAGACGAAGTTGGGCTGGACGGAACCAGTGGAGACAAATGAGACGATGGAAGGCTGGACTTGGGATCTGTGGCCCTCCCTGGGCCAAACGGGGGAACAGTAGCCCTCTCTGGGCTTGATTTGAGAACAGGAGCGGACTCAGGGGCTGGAGCCGACACTGGAGCGGACTCGGGAGAGAGGATAAGGGCCGAGAAATCCGGAGGAAGCGCCAAATCCAGGAGCGCTGAGAGGCACGCTGGAGTGGACTCTGGAGGGAGCGCTGGTGCCTCTTTTTCTGGGCTGAGGGCTGGAATGGATCTTGGATGGGATCAGGGAAGCACAGGTGGAACGAAGGGAGCGGGCTCATTGGAGCGGTATGTGGAGGGTGCTGGTTTATGGTGAGCTGGAGTGCCAACGTGCCACCGGATAGGGACTGAATGGTTATCATTATTTACTTCAAAAAAGAAATCAGAGCAATTTAAATCGAGAACTAAATTAATAAAGTCTGCTACGGGTCTATAACAATCATCTGGAGACAAGAATCAGAATAAATTATCATCGTCCAGTCCCATCCGGAAGCACGCATTAAGCATATGATCACTCCAGCTCACCAGATGGAAGATACTCAGGAACTCCTCCACATATCGCTCCAAAGGCCTTCCATCCTGCTGGATGTTTAGTAAAAAATCCTCAGCTCAGTCCATCTCCTTTGTAGGTCCTGTCTTCTGTCGCTGGGGAAAGGGGAAAGAAGCTTGAAAGAGTACGAAGGAGGCAGATAGTCAAACAAACGGAGTCTTTAAACATGGGAAAACAGGTTGAAACTAATGAACTAATCAAGCAACACAGGAAAACTAGGTCAAGGCAGGGAGAACAGAAACACAGAACATAAACGTGACATAAAGTATACTTAAAAATTTACTTGAACTTTACTTAAGTATACTTAATAAAATAAACCTGAAGTATACTTCTTTATGGTAAGGGATGTGCAGGATAATGACACATCAGCCAATGTGTTATTATAGGAAATAAATGAAAACTATTTAAAATTTAGTTGTTATAGAACAAAATGTAAAATTGTTCAAAGAGGCTATCTTACCTCAAAAGTAGCTAAACTACCTGGCTAAACTTTTACAGCAGGGTGCGAGCTACGGGGGAGCTAGGGGGAGCTCGGCTCCCCTTAATAAGACATGGGCTCCCCTGAAAACGTGATTTGTGAAATTTTGGGGGGTCTCAAAAAATACTGACAATGTGTTATTTTGACGTGCAATTTCAGTTTTGTGTAATGTGATCATCGTGGATTATTATGTGTAAAATTGCAAAAATATCATTAATTCATGCATGACGGCGATTTAAACCTAATTCACTTCAATAAAGATAACTATACATGCTATTCTTGTCATGAGCATCAAGGTGTGGGGGCGCTGCGGTGCAAATTCCACTCATGTTTAGTACATGTTAACTCAAAGATTCGTAGAAAAAATTTAAATGTTGGACTCTGTGGTCGATTCTGTGTTAAGGTAAGGCATGTTATTCGCAATTATGTGCTGTGGCTGGGTTGTTATAGGTCTGCGTGACTCTCGATGTCTGAGGCCTAACTGAACGGAGGAATTATATGTTATTCTTCTGTAGCCTGATGACGAGTAACTTTAACCGTTGTTCATGTGAACTCAAAGACAGCCTGATGCTTTGTGTATAGACTATTTGTGGGTGGCTGTTTGTTGTTTCACCTATCAATTTGTGTCGATAAAGTATAATAGGGTAAATCCTGTATAGTGATTTATCCTATATAGTGCTTGCATAAAGCAAGTAGTGCATACATTTGTAGCTGTTATGTATCTTTGTAAGTCATTGTAACCCCCCCACCCCCGTTATAAAAAAAAACAAGTGGGCTCCCCCAAAGTTCACAGTATATTTCGAACACTGTTTTACAGAATGTATAAATGACTTTTGATATGAATCTTATTAATATTATATTATTTATATTATATTATTATTATAATAACAACATTATTAGCCAATTCCATTGTCTCGGGGCACAGGCAGGGGACACCCTGAATTGGAATAGTGTCCAATTCCCCTATGTTGCATGTTTTTGGACAGAAAGAGCATGCAAACTCCTTTTCCTGTGAGGCAACAGTGCTACCCACCGAGTCACTGTACCACCCCTTTTTAGAGTGTCATTAATGTAAAACACTAAATCAACTATTCTATTTAAAATTACATTGTGACAGTTTAGTTGAATAATGGAATGACAGACAATAACAGACAAAGCAGAATCACAATAAAATAGATTCATATGAAAGGTATATTTATTCTATGACTTACATGAATATAATAATAATAATAATAATAATATATACACATTTAATTGCCTATATTTTGATTGAAAATATGTCATAATAGCAACACTATCTTGCATTTTACCCCGTCTTACCCTACTATGAAACTATGGTGTTCCTTGCTGGTATTTTTACAAGCTGTGGGCAATGAAGCCAGCACACTTAACATTTTAAAAACACTTTAAAAACAAATGTAAACTGTTTTATATTTTATGCAAAATAAAACAACTTCAATAAATGTCAAGTTTATTTTTGAACACACACACACACACACACACACACACACACACACACACACACAAAAAGTTTTGTTTCATTGAAACAAAACATATATATATTTTATAGCAATATTGATGCTATCGTCACATTCAAAGTAAAAAGGAACTCATTTTGACCTGTGCCATACTGATTAACACAGTATATTACCATTAATTAATAATATAAATGTTGTTTTGATTAAACATTTTAGGTTAATATCTGAAACAAAAAAAAAAAGACTGAAATACCATAATGACAGTTCTTAAAACAGAAAAAAAATATGTGTTTTGTTCATGTAATACCCACTTTTGATACAATCAAGTTTTTACATACTATATCAAGATTATTTTTGTACACACACACACACACACACACACACACACACACACACACACACAAAAAGTTTTGTTTCATTGAAACAAAACATATATATATTTTATAGCAATATTGATGCTATCGTCACATTCAAAGTAAAAAGGAACTCATTTTGACCTGTGCCATACTGATTAACACAGTATATTACCATTAATTAATAATATAAATGTTGTTTTGATTAAACATTTTAGGTTAATATCTGAAACAAAAAAAACAAGACTGAAATACCATAATGACAGTTCTTAAAACAGAAAAAAAATATGTGTTTTGTTCATGTAATACCCACTTTTGATACAATCAAGTTTTTACATACTTTTCTGATATTTTTAAGTCTTATTCCATACATAATAGGGTTAAGCACTGGCTGACACATCAAGAAATAGACTGAAATGATTATACGTAACAAAGCTGGCATTCTGATATTATCAAACCTGCTTTGCACTGTTTCAAAGAAGCAGCCCAAAGAAAAGTTTAAAAGAGATATTATGTGTGGTGCACAGGTACTTAGAGCCTTCTGCTTAGCTTCTTTAGTAGAACTCATACATATTTTTAGAATTCTTGTATATGAATAAATAATTAGCATCAGTGGAATCAGTGCTGTCATCACATTAACATAAATGCCATAAGTATTATTCAAAGAGGTTTTTGAACAAGCAAGTTTCACAAGTAAATAATTGTCACACCATACTTTTTCCATACTGTTTCCACAGAGTTGCAGCTTAAAATTAAAAGAGAAAAGAATTAAAAATTGAACAAAACAATATGACCACACCAACACAATTAACACACCAACTCTAAAAGGGGTCATGATTCTGTTATAATGTAATGGATAACAGATTGAAACATATCTATCAAAAGACATAACCGCTAAATTACAAAATTCAATCATCGCATATGTATACAAGCAAAATATCTGCAAGTAACAATAAATAAAAGAAATCTCATTGTTATTCAAAATCAGATGAACTTGAAGGGAAGGAAATAAAGCTGTGCTGCCATACAATTCATTAACAAACAGACTACAAAGAAACACATACATTGGTTTATGAAGGGGTTTTGCTGAACAAATGACACCAATAAGAAAGCTATTGGCAAATAGGATTGTAGAATACAGCACAGTTATCACAGCAAACAAGAAGTACTTCATCTTCAGTTCCAAATTAAGATATCCGGTCAGTCTGATGGATGTAAAATTTGCACCATTTTCCATATTATATGTTTGCTGTTCAGACAAACAGATAGAAGAAAATTGCTTACTGTATGTCTTTCTCACTAATGTATTTTATGCATATTGCAAAGGAAATTAATTTTTAAAAATACCTATCACTAATGATGAGATGTTTTATAGAGAGCAGATTGTCAATGGAAAAAAAATGATTGAAACAGTCATGTAAACTTAAATTAATAACTTGAACAAAATTGGAGGTAAATAAAAGAAAGACAATTGTATCAACCTACAACAAATAAAATGAATTAGAAAACAGATTTTCATCATAAAGTAAAACATTATGTTGTGCTGGTGAAGCATCTGAATTTATAATACAGGACACAAACACAAGGGAATGTTGACGTGGTTGTTCACATAATTAATTGCAGACTTCTGATGGCAGAATCAGAGTCAGAAATGCAATAATGTTCATAAAAAAAAAGTACAACAACAATGACAACAACAGCTAACTAACTAACTAACTAAATAAATTTAAATCAGTGTCAAGTGTTAAGGGCATCATCCACATTTTCAAATAAATAAAAAAAAAAATTTAATTAATTCTGTCTGCTCAATAGATTAGACTATCACAGATTGTTACCAGTTTGACAGGACGTATCAGAAGCAGAGTTCCTGTGCTGTGGTTGGTGTTCATTTATTATTTAGCTAGGTAAATAATAAAAGTGTATAAATGGTCAAATTTCAGTAAATGTCCTCCAATAATGCACAACATTTCTGGGTTATCTTATCTAATCACAGCACCTGAACAGGAAACCCTGCAACATTTACTGCTCAAGAACCAGAAAGAGCATAACATTTTCATCCCGATAATGTTGCTGCAACCAGCACACACACTGCAAATAGGACAACTTTGGATTTGCAAATGTATTGTGTTTTTACAGGACTGGAAACAAGTTGAGCTGACTAACAATTTTGTTTTGCTTTCTCTGCTACAGTTTACCGCACAATTGTATTGTTTGCAATTTTTAGCAAAAACACATTTAATCGTAAATGTGTTTTTGCCTTTGTTCAAAACGTCCAGCAAGACCTAATACACTTTTGACAATGCATGTTTCCCTTGATGATAGGCATGAGTTGATGAGGAAGGGAGCAAATTTGATGATGCAACTATGTTAACTAGGGACAAGACATTTTGAGGCTGTACATGACAGAAAGGCACATCCTTTTTCATGAACTAAGCATCACAAATTTGCATAGTTAATTTATTTATTTGTTTGTTCGCCATAATTTAAATAGAGCTGTTTCTTGTTGCATGCAGTCATTCTGCAATAGACAGAGAAAAGATAAACCAATACACAAAACTTACAGAAAGGTACAGCAATGTTATCAGTATGTTATTTATTTATTTTTTCATGTTATATTGTGTACATGATCCTTTTTTTTATTTTAGGCTAAAGTTTATTGTATACATTTATTGTATTCATTGTATTGTATTGACATTCAAGTTGTCATTTTATGCAGAGTAAAATGTTTTAGTGTTTTATAAACCCTTTTTGATCATGTTTAAAGGACGAAAACAGCTTTTAAATTACTCATCTATGCTTTTCTCCATTTAGGAAATCAAGCTGTCATGAAAAATATTTCTTTCATACTGGATGGATACAAAGGAATATATGACCAAAGGTATATTTTTGTGGTTGTGCTATCTTTACTGTACCCAGTCATGATAATTTCTAAGTGTACTCATCTATGTAATATGTGTTGAAAGAGGGCTACATAAGCCCATGTACATCTTTATTTGCAATTTGGCTTGTATTAATTTATATGGTGGATCTGCTGTTACACCTTTTGTTTTGACTAAAATTCTGACAGAGAATTATCGAATGACATGGCTTTCTTGCCTTGTGCAAATCTTTAGTATATTTACCTATGGTGGCTGTGACCTAACAAACTTAACAGTTATGGCTTATGATCGATATATAGCTATATGCTATCCTTTAGAATATGAAAAAATAGTCACGCCAGCAAAAGTGGCGATAGGTGTTGCAGTTTCTTGGCTTTTGCCATTTGTGCGATCGACCATCACTATCTCAATTACAGCTAATCTTAACATGTGTGGAGTAATTATTGAAAAAGTCTACTGTGACAATTTTTCTGTTGTGAGGCTAGCGTGCTCTGAAACTTTAAGTAATAATATATATGGTGTTGTTATGATGTCCCTTACTATCCTACTGGTTGTAATAATTTTCTATACTTATGTAAGGATCATCTTTATCTGCTTGAAGTTGTCAAAAACAGGTCGAGTTAAATTCAGCACATGTGTCCCACATCTAATAGCATTACTAAACTTTGTAATTGGTAGTTGTTTTGAAATGTTCCAAAGTCGATTCAATATGCGTCATGTGCCTTACACTGTTCGTGTTATACTCTCTTTATATGTTCTTATTTTGTCTCCTATTATAAATCCAATCATGTATGGAGTAAAAACTCAAAAAATAAAGGAAGCCATTATTAAAAGAAATAGGTTATCTTAGTCACACTTAAGTCTACACTTAAAGCAGCTGGGATCTGTGGAACAAGTTCTGTGCACTCCATCTCTGAACAAATGTAAAGTATGAACTTATTTGTAAATGGTAAAACAAATGAGTGATAACATACTGTTTTATGCTGTTACCCAAAACTGAATGTACAAAAAACTTTAGCCTGGCATATGTATATGTAAATGCACGGCATTTTTTTTTTTTTCTGAGCAGTTTAGAGGTTTACATACTTTGCTCTGAAGTGTATTGACAAATACAGTATGACTCACTGACTTATGACCTGCTGCCCCTGTCAAAAATGTATTATCTGGCCTTTTTTTTTTTTCATTTTACAAACCAGAACCAATTTATTTAGTTATATGTCTAACAGACTGCTATTGTTGTGTAACTGCCTTATATTGTTATATTGTTTGTAGTATAAGCATTTGCGAACTGTAAACTTCTTGCTTGACAATTGAATGGTGAGTATATTAAACTACAGCAACTTTAATCTTTATATTTTAAGCACAATAAATAATTACTGAAACATGTTCTAGTAAATATATCATGAATGTTGTTAATAGTATTGTTAATGTAATAGGAATCTCTTGCGCATGTTTTCAGAAATATAATTTCCAATTCTAAGTCCATGTGCCATATTTTTTATCTGACTAATATCTTCATACATTAATAACAATAAATGTTTAATAGTTGTAATATTTAGTTATTCTGCAAAACTGAGAAAATGCAAAATGCCATACTTGAAAAAGTATTCAAATGACAGTGACACCAGGTGTAAAAGTTTATATTTATTTGTGAATGTTTTTATCATTTCAAGGCAAAACCAGTGGATACAATTGTCTTTGCATTCCTTTTAAAGATGCAAACATGGTTTATGTAACTTGCTAACACTCTGGCTTTTTGAATGTGCATAACTGCAGACTTGTAATAAGATCTTACAAGAGGAAGACATCATTTCCTTAAGAGAGAATACAATAATTATTGCTTGTATTGTAACCAAACAACTATTCAAGGCTTATATTCAAGTCACTGCAATACATGTCTCCATTTCCTCCACAATGGCTTGTTTCCAATTCAAGATCAATTAAATTGCTTTTGTGCAGTAATTTTCAAGCAACTGGGTTTTCGAACAGTCATTGAACAGCCTTTTTGTCCTACTTGAAGACTTTTGAAGTTTCACTTCTGTTCAATTACAACATACCATGCCGGTTAACTAAATTTAAAGAATATAAGATTCACAATTAGAAAGTAAGGCTACAAGCGTGGGACGGTACATGGGCTTTGAGCCAATATTGGAAGGGGCCGCATGTGAAGTAGGCCCAGAGGAATCACAGAGGAAGCGGCTGACATGAGGCCGAGCATCCTCTGGCATGCCCGCATCTGGCCTGAATCTTTAACTGTCCCCAGGAAGATGACTTGCTGGCTGGGTCAAGTCAAGTCACCTTTATTTATATAGCGCTTTTAACAATACAGATTGTGTCAAAGCAACTGTACAGCATTAATTAGGAAAATATTGTGTCAATAATGCAAAATGACAATAGTAAACATTCAATTTTCAGTTAAAGGCAGTTCATCATTGAATTCAGTGATGTCATCATCCAGCTCAGTTCAGTTTAAATAGTCTCTGTGCAATCAAGTCGACGATATCGCTGGAAAATAAGTGTCCCCAACTAAGCAAGCCAGAGGCGACAGCGGCAAGGAACCAAAACTCCATCGGTGACAGAATGGAGAAAAAACCTTGGGAGAAACCAGGCTCAGTCAGGGGGCCAGTTCTCCTCTGGCCAGACGAAACCAGCAGTTCAATTCCAGGCTGCAGCAATCTCACATTGTACAGAGGGCTCAACTGGTTCCTGTGGTCTTGTCCCGGTGGCCGTCAAGGAGACAAGGTCCTCACTGGGGATCTGTCTCTGGGGCTCATCTAGTTGTCCTG